GGAGCTGAAAGCTGAGGATGTCTCTGGGGTGAGGGGATGGGAAAGAGGTGGGGGAGGTGGTAGCCAGAGAGAAAATGGCACCTGTGGCTTCTTTACCTTTGTGTCGCTTTGACTTAATGGGCTGCACGTGCTGGACCTCCGCCACTCCAGGATGTAACATGGCAGGCTCTGCAGTGGTTGATGCTGGTGCTGCAGCTGCCACAGACTGAGTCTCACAACATGGTGCCACTGCCTCCTGGCACCAGGCACAACTGAGGCCAGCCCTGGGGCCTAGGCAATTCCCCATGGGTGACCTACAAGGGGACTTTCAAAGCAAAGCAACACACAAAATCAGAAAAAAACAACAAAAAAGAACAATGAGAACACGTGGACACAAGGAGGAGGGGAGCGTTACACACTGGGGTCTGTTGTTGGGAAATAGGGGAGGGACAGCAGGGGTTGGGGAGTTGGGGAAAGATAGCATGGGGAGAAATGCCAGTTATAGGTGATGGGGAGGAACGCAGCAAATCACACTGCCACATGTGTACCTATGCAACAATCTTGCATGTTCCATGTACCCCCAAACCTAAAATGAAATAAGAAAAAAACAAAACAAAGCAACACACAAAATTAAAAAAAACAAAAAAGAAAATAAAACAAAGCAACACACAAAATAAAAATAAAAAAAAAACCAGAAAGAAAAAGCAAAGCAACGGAGCAAGTGCCAAGGGCACAAACACTTCCATGAGAGTAGTCGGAGCTCCTCCTCCTCCCACTACCAGCTTCTGACTGAAGGCTGCTGGCCCTGGCTAATGCCTGTTACCCACAAAGCCTCCTATGTCACCTGGTTACCAGAAAACAACAAAGTCAGGCCAGTGGCTCATAATGCCACTTCCCACAACCCCATCCAATGGCTCACAATGCCCATCCCTGCTGCTGGCCATCTGTGGCCACCCTGCCCCTCTTGGTGACTGCATTATTCATCCTGAGCTGCCTGAGATATTCCATTTTTCACCATAGGCCTCAAAAAACCCAGAAATGTCCCTTCATAGATTCTATATAGAGACTGTCTAACCTGTGAATAAAAACAAAGGTTTCATTCTGAGTGATAAATCCACAAACACAAAGCATTTTCACAGAATCCTTTGGGGCCCACCTCTCACCTTTGGCTTCCTATTCTTAGTTATTTGGGCTTCTGTCTTGTATGCTCTGTCAGGTTCTAGGCCTTGTAAGGGTGAGTTCCATGTCTCCACTCATTTATATGTGCCCAGGACGGTTGGCTTTTGGGAGCGTCTTCATGACTGAGGCCATAGATCCTTTGCACTGTTCCTTGAATCCACCTGACACAAAATACTCATCCTGAAATGATGCTCTGAAAGTGATGCTTCCATTCAATTGGGGCCAACTGTATTATGGATCCCTAGTACCCAATACATGGCATATAAGAAACGAATGAAAAATGAGTGAATGAACTCAAGTGTACCTACAAGATGAGAGAAAAATGGTCCTACTTACTAGGTGTGCTATGAAGGCATCTGGGACCATTGGCTTTGCTATTTCATAGTAGGCCTGGGGCATAAAAGTCTGGTATTTTCTCATTCTAAACCTCAAATTCCAATAAATTACCATCACGTGGACAAAGGTCCATGGGCCAGAGTTCTTGGTGTGAACAACATACCTTTTTTGGGTGTGATTAATGGACAGGGACTATACAAAACTAAAAACAATGTTTGTGTGCTGACTACTTGCAAGCCATGGTGATAAAACACTCTGTATACATAATCTTATTCAATGCTTGTTACAAATCCATTAAGTGGATTTTTACACAAACTTTCTATTTGAGCTTTTTGGAACAAGAGGCTAGTGTAGTGACTTTCACCTACTCACCTACATGTAATCTCATTACATGTATACTCCTACATGCTTCTCCTCTCCCTCTCATGGTTTTATAGCAAATCCCACACATCATATAATTTCCTCCCTGACTGTCTTGGTATATGTCTGTAAAAGATATGATTCTTGTTTGTTCTTTCAAGACAAGGTCTCTGTCAACCAGGCTTGAGTTCAGTGGCATAATCTTGGTTCACTGTGGCCTCTCCTGCCTCAGCTTCCTGAGTATCTGCAACTACAGACTCACACCGCAATGCCAAGCTAATTTTTTTATTTTATTTTAGTAGAGACAGGGTCTTGCTATATTGCCCAGGCTGGTCTAGAATTCCTGGATTCAAAGGATCTTCCCACCTTGACCTCCCACACTACTAAGATTATAGGTGTGAACCGCCATGCCCAGAGACAAGAACTCTTTAAAAAATATAATAATCCCAATACCATCATCAATCAACCATCTCACACCATTGCTCTTTATCACTGTCAACTCTCCTTCTAGCTCCAAATTTCCAGTCATTTCATGTATTTATTGTGTGAATCAGGATCCAAATAAAGTCTCTCCTTGGGATTGTTTGATTCACCTATTAGGGTTTTTTTGATCCTGACAACTTCCCACTTTGATCTCTGTGCTGTCTCTTGCAGTCCATTTATTGAATAAATCAGGCCATTTCCCCATAGTTTGGATTATGCTAAGTGTGTTCTTATTATGCTGTTTCTCATACTGTGAATTTTGCTAATTGTATCTTGTGATGTTCATTAACTTGCTCTTCACTTTGTTCTAGTTTTGATAAATTAGTAGTTTGACCTCAAGACTTGGTGAGATTCAGGTTGGACTTGAGGGACTGTGCTAGTTTCTTCTGGGAGGAGGTGTATACTTTCTGGACATCTTTTTTTAAATTGGTGATGTTAATGGCCATTGATCAATTATGGATTGAACAATGAAGGTATTGTTGTATCATTCCTTCTTCATTTATGAGCTGCCATACTTCCAGAAAGAGATACTGCTACCTGAAGAAGGGCCTTGCATAAAGAAAAAAATGAAGCAAATATAAAAAAAGATGCTGCTTCATATAAATTTTGTTACTCACTTGTACAACTTATATAGAAAATGCCAGTTCATGGCTTGATTTCTTCTGTTTACCATTTTTCAAAATGATGGGCTGTTTCATTTATATCCTTTGATGGTGACCACTTCTATTAATTAATTTATTTAGACAGAGAGGGTTTAGCTCTGTTGCCCAGGCTGGTATGCAGAGAAGCAGTCATGCCACTACAGCCTCAAACTTCTAGGCTCAGGTGACCCTCCCATCTCAGCTTCCTGAGTAGCTGGGACCAAAGACATGGACCCTCATACCTGAGTAATTTAAAAATATTTTGTAGAGACAAAGTCCCCCTATGTTTCACAGGCTGGTCTTGAACTGCTGGAAGAAGTGATCCTTCTAACTCAGCCTCCCAGAGTGTTGAAATTACAGGCATGAGGAACTGTGCCAGCCCACTTTTATTTTTTCAAAAGGATCATTATGAATGCAGATATTCAAACATATCTGATATATCTCAATTCACTGAAACTATTATCCTTATTAATGTACAAAATGTCCTATCTTTGGTCAGGAGTCCCTTCAGATTGGCCCTTTGGACATGTTGAAATCATCCTAATAATCTTTTATGAATTCTTTGCTATCCAGAGTAACAATATGTTCCAGGCTCCTTACACATTTCTGGCCTAGACCTGGAATCAGCACTTTCTCCAGGAAGGCTTGTTTTCTTTCATTGGGCAATGGTATTTTGAGACTATATTGAGACTACAATCTTGGTGCTAGGGGTAAATAGTATAATTTTAAAACTTAGAAAACTGCCTGGCTCATGCCTGTAATCATAGCACTTTGGGTGGATCATCTGAGGTCACAACTTTCAGACCAGCCTGGACAACATGGTGAAACCCCATCTGTAATAAAAATACAAAAAATTAGCCCGGCATCATGGTGGAAGCCTGTAATCCCAGCACCTTGGGAGGCAGAGATGGGCGAATCACAAGGTCAAGAGATCAAGACCATCCTGGCTGACATGGTGAAACCCCGTCTCTACTAAAAATAGAAAAATATTAGGCAGGCATGGTGGCACTTGCCTGTGGTCCCAGATACTCCAGAGGCTGAGGAGGAAGAATTGCTTGAACCCAGGAGGTGGAGGTTGCAGTAAGCCAAGATTGAGCCAGTGCACTCCAGCCTGGTGACGGAGCCAGACTCCGTCTAAAATAAACAAATAAATCAGCCGGGCATAGTGGCTCACGCCTGTAATCCAAGCAGTTTGGAGGCCAAGGCAGGCAGATCACCTGAGGGTGAGAGTTCAAGACCTGCCTGAAAAATATGGTGAAACCCCGTCTTTAAAAGAAAGAAAAAAAGTAAATAATAAATAAATAAGTAAATACATGCAAGACTGCCCTTAAATCATTATACAGATAGTTAAGAAAATGAATAAATGCAAGCCTGCACACAAATACATAGGGTATAAAAATAATGTTGTGAGCCTGGGTCTAAATAAAATAAATGAGTAAATGTGAGCCTGCCTCTAAATAATCAGATAGCTAGCTAGCTAGATAGATAAATACATAAATCCAAGCCTGCCTCCAAATATGTAAATAAATAAATTTGACCTGCTTCTCCATTAGTACGTCAGCAAATAAATAAATATATGCAAGTCTGCATCCAAATAAATCAATTAATAGATAAACCAATAAATAAGCAGCCCCACTTGGTAGCTCATGTTTTTAATCCCACACCCATTGTGAGCCTGAGTCGTCTATATCACCTGAGGTCAGGACATTGAGACCAGCCTGGCCAAGATGGTGAAATAATCCTTGTCACTATTTAAAAAAAAATAAGGTGAAAATAATTAAATTAATTAAAATATAAATAAATAATGCAAGCTGGGCTTCCTGCCTCTAAGTAAATAAATCAATAATTATGTAAATAAATAAATAAAGGCCGGCGAGATGGCTCAGTCCTGTAATCCCAGCACTTTGGGGAGGCCAAGACCGATGGATCATGAGGTCAAGAGATTGAGACCATCCTAGCCAACATGGTGAAACCTCGTCTCTACCAAAAATACAAAAATATTAGCCAGGCTTGGTGGCACTTGCCTGGGGTCCCAGATACTCCAGAGACTGAGGAAGAAGAATCACTTGAACTCAGGAGGCAGAGGTTGCAGAAAGCCAAGGTTGGGCCAGTGCACTCCAGCCTGGTGACAGAGCAAGACTCCCTCTAAGATAAACAAACAAACAAACAAATAAATAAGTAAATAATTGCAAACTGCCTCTAAATCATTATACAGATAGATAAAAAAATGAACAAATGCAAGCATGCACACAAATACATAAGTATAAAAATAATGTTGGCCGGGCGCAGTGGCTCATGCTTGTAATCCCAGCACTTTGGGAGGCCGAGGTGGGTGGATCATGAGGTCAAGAGATCGAGACCATCTTGGTCAACATGGTGAGACCCCCGTCTCTACTAAAGATACAAAAAATTACCAGCCTGGCCAAGATGGTGAAAGAACCCCTTTCTCTATTTAAAAAAAAAGATGAAAATAGTTAAATAAATAAGTAAAAATAGGCCAGGCATGGTGACTCACGCCTATAATCCCAGCACTTTGGGAGGCCGAGGTGGGTGGATCATGAGGTCAAGAGATCGAGACCATCCTGGTCAACATGGTGAAAACCCATCTCTACTAAAAATACAAAAAATTACCTGGGCATGGTGGTGCGCACCTGTAGTCCCAGCTACTTGGGAGGCTGAGGCAGGAGAATTGCTTGAACCCAGAGGGCGGAGGTTGTAGTGAGCTGAGATCGTGCCATTGCACTCCAGTCTGGGTAACAATAGTGAAACTCCATCTCAAAAAAAAAAAAAGTAAAAATATAAATAAAGAAATGCAATCCAGGCTTCCTGCCTATAAGTAAATAAATCAGTAATTATGTAAATTAATAAATAAAGGCCGGGCAACATAGCTCAGTCCAGTAATCCTAGCACTTTGGAAGGCTGAGACAGTTGGAACACGAGGTCAAGAGATCGAGACCATCCTGGCCAACATGGAGAAACCCAGTTTCTACTAAAAATACAAAAATATTAGCCAGGCATGGTGGCATGCTCCTGGGGTCCCAGCTACAAGGGAGGCTGAGGTGGAAGAACTGCTTGAACTAAAGAGGGGGAGGTTGCAGTGAGCCAAGATTGTACCACTGCACTGCTGCCTGGTGAGAGGGCAAGAATTCATCTAAAATCAGTGAATCAATGATCCAATCAATCAGTCAAGAAACACAAGTCAGCCTCTAAATAATTACATAGATAGTTAAGAAAATGAATAAATGCAAGCCTGTACACAAATACATAAGTATATAAATAAATGTCTGCCTGTGTCTAAATAAATAAATGAGTAAATGTAAGCCTGTCTCTAAATAAATAGATAGGTAGATAGATAAATACATAATTCCAAGCCTGCCTCAAAATATATAATTAAATGCAACCTGCTTCTCCGTAAGTACGTCAGTAAATAAATAATAAATGCAAGTTTGTCTCTAAATAAATCAATTAATAGATAGATAAATAAAGCAATAAATAAATAAATCAGCCACCCCTCTTGGTGGCTCATGGACAATGGACTGCTTTGTCAGTGATTTTGTTTTTTCTTCATTAGTAACCAACAGCACAGCTAACCAAGAAATCATACACATTTGGGGCCATGTCAAACTGAAGAGTTTGTGCCTAACAAACAATGAACAAATTGAAAAAGCATACTAAAAATTGTAAGAAAAGTTTGGGCAAACATTCAGTTGGATAAGGGGTTATTTTCTAAAAGGTACAAGCCAGTAACACTAACAGCTGGCAAAAAAAAAAAAAGCAGAAAAGTAACCAAACCAAATAACCTGAGGAGATAATTGTGCAGACAAGAAACTGATGCAACATTTGCAAAAATGTGGTTACCATTACTACGCATGAGAAAAATGAACATCAAAACCACACTCAGATCTTATCTCACTACCAACTAGAATGAACATTACAAACAGATTAAAATATTTAAAAAAGACAACTTCTAGTATGAATTTCACAAAGGGGAATTGTTTGTGGAAACGTAAATTAAGTATTAATGCTATAAAAAACAGTTGGGGGTCCTGCAAAGAATAGAGAAAAAAAATACCATACCATCTAGCATTCCCACTACTGAGTATACAGTCTACCTACCTGTCCATCCACAAAGGGATCAAGAAACTTTTGTATGCATACACTAGGGAATATTCTTTGGCCACCAAAATGATAAAACAGTGTCATGTGGAGCAACTCAGATGAACCTGGAAAACATTATGTTAAACATAATGAGCTGGACCAAGAAAGACAAACACTGAATTTTAAGATGTCTGTCTTAAAAACAGATAGGTAGATAGATAGATACATAGTTCCAAGCCTGTAGAAAGCACAATATTGGTTACCAGAGTCTGGGAGCTAGAGGGGGAGTAGGCATTGGTTTTGGAAGCAAAGTTATCTTAATCTTAAAGGAATCAATCTGAGTGTTCTCCTCCTCAGCCTGGTAACTGGAGTTAACAATATTATATTTTTCAAAAGAATAAGAAAGGAGAATTTTGAGTGTTCTCTTTACACAAAAATCATACCTTATGAGGGAATAGAGATCCTAAGTACCCTGATTTGATCATTACCCAATCTATTTGTGTGAAAATGTACCCTTAATTATGCACCTTTATGTTGTGAAAAAAAAAGTTAACAGAAATAAATATATATTGCTAAAAATCACAGGGAACCATAAAAACAATTCATATGTAAAGGTATCCTGAGAAATACAATCAAAGTGAGGACCCACAATCCTCGATATTAAATCACACTGCCAAGCTGCAGTCATGCTGCAGATATATAGTACTTGGATAAAAACGATACCTAGAACTGTGGACAAAAACGAGGAGGACAAAACAAGATCAACGCAAATATGGATATAGTCAACTCACTTTGATAAAGACCACTGCAATGTGGAAGGCAGAGTCTGCTCAATGAATACCTTTGAGAAAAATGTTATCTGGATGCAGAAGAGAGAAACAGGACCCTGATTTTATACAATATATGAAAATCAACCCCTGCACCCCCCACACAAAACAAACACACACAAACCCCTGAAGACCAGAACAAAAGACCATAAACCACAACATGTTTTTAACTAAAACACAGGTTGAGGATATATTCTGGGTCACTTGAATCTTTGCTCACCTTCACAAAGAGAAAAAGAAAGAAACACCCTGGAAGAAAAACCTCACTGACAATTAAATGCTTTGTCACTGATATGTATTTCCTTACATGGATGACCAAAATTACATGCATAAAATTCAAAAATAAACATGGACTACATCAACCTGAAAAGTTTTTGCACAGCAAAGAAACTACTTTCCAAATAAAAAAAGCATCCTATAGATTAGGCAAAAATTTCAGGTAATCATGTAATTCATGTGTCATCTAAGGTGTACACAAAAAACACTACAAAGTAACTAAATAATCTAATATTTTACAAAGGACCTAAACAGACAATTCTGTGACATAAAATCGAACAACAGATAAAAGGTCCTCAAAATTAACTATCCAACAAAGTTAACTGTGTGTGGTTTAATTGAAAAACCACACAGATAATCTCACACTTACTGGATATTCCAAGAAAGTTTTTTAAAAATAGGAGAGGCCAGGCTTGGTGGCTCACGCCAGTAATCCCATAACTTTGGGAGCCTGAGGCAGCAGATCACCCGAGGTCAAGAGTTTGAGACCAGCCTGATCAATACGGAGAAACCCCGTCTTTCCTACTGATATAAAAATTAGCCTGGTGTGGTGGCCGGCCCCTGTAGTCCCAGCTACTCAGGAGGCTGAGACGGGGAAATCGCTTGAACCCAGGAGCACAGGTTGCAGTGAGGCCAGATGGCACCACTGCACTCCAGCCAGGGCAGAATGAGATTGTCTCCAAAGGAAAAAAAAAAAAAAAAAAAAAGGAACACAGGTATAGTTTTGGAGAAAACGGAACTCATACACTGTAAATGAAAATCAGAATAGACACCACGGAAAACAGCTAAATACCTGGAGACTCCTCAAAGAATTGACACTACAGATATCCCCTGCTCCATTGTGCTCTAGCGAGGTCTCTTTTTAAGGTCCTGAGACATCAAAATAACCCTGGATCTCAGCTCAGAGGCCCGTGGGGCTCAGAGGGTCTCAGGTCCTGTGCTTCACCGTGGCCTCTGGGCCAGGTGCTTCTATATGCTGGACGCGGGTCGCACACCATTCCCGGCCAGGGTGCGGATGCTGGGGCAGCCAGGACCCCACAACTGCCGCCACGCAGACTACTGGGGCTCAGATGCACACAAGGAGTCAAGGCCCAAAAGTGAGCAGCTGGGAAGGAGCAGGGAGGCCCAGAGGGTTCCCGGTGGGGTCCATGCCCTGCCACTTACCTCGGAGACCTGCCTCCTGCTCCCCCATCACATGGAAGCCACCATGGCTTCTCTGAAGCTCGCTGGGACCACGTGGCCGCTTCTGCTGGCTGGGACCGCGCCATCGCTTCTGGACGCCATGGCTTCTGCTCGTTGGGACACGACTCCTCTTCTGCTTCATGGGACTGCATCACCGCCTCTAGCTGCCGCTTTCGTTCTCTCAGACCACACCGCCATAGCTTCTGCTTGCTTCAACGACGCCACGGCTTCTGCCGGGGCCCTGCAGGAAGCGCCGTCTTGGCTTCCTTAGAGGTCCGCATGCCGGCAGCGTCCCTAGCGATTGGCTGATGCACCACCCCCTCTTAAAGGGGCCACGGCTCGGACTGCACAGAAGCAGCTTCGCCTTGCAGCACCAGCTAAGCAGAGGTGGATGAAAGGCACCCAGTCTCTCCTCCCAGCTCTAGGGCCCTAGAGATTACAGGAGTGGACCCCTGGGACCCCAGCCCCTAGATCAACTCTCTTTGCCCCAGGAGCTTCCAGGACCTGCCCCTGCCCTCCTATGGACGTCAGCTTCGCAATCCACAAAGAAAGCAGCCTGGCCAGAACTCTGGGGTCCCTCAAGTGTGGCGCCTCAGGATGCAGGTTGGGCTCCCTTGTCCCTCTGCAGAGGGGGCCCTTAAAACCACGGAAAGCTGGGGACTGGAGAGACAGTCCCGAGGGCAGCAGGGCCTCCCCGGCCTCCCTGTTCGCATCAGTCCTGTGGGAGCCCGGGGGCCTCTCTAGAACCCAGACACCCGTGGCCTCACTGGAGCTGCGTGGGTCACCCCCCTCCCCAAGAGGCAGGCAGGGGCCCTGGGGTCCAGCGCTGCCACACCTCAACTCCATCCTAGGTCAGCACCTGGAGGGGCCCTGCGAACTGGACCCAGCCCACCCCTTCCCAGGGAGAGGGACCCGCATCACATCTGTCTCTGTGCCACCTACGGGAGGGCCATGCTGGCCTCTCCCAGGGATCTGGGGCAAGGCAGGGGAATCCCAGCCACCTGGCCATCATGCTGAAATGGCATCTCTACTAAAAATACAAAAATTAACTGGGGGTGGTGGCACCTGCCTGTAATCTCAGCTACTGGAGGGGCTGAGGCAGGAGAACCACTTGAACCCAAGGAGGAGGTTGCAAATCTGGGTTCACTGCAGTCTCCACTTCCCAGGCTCAAGTAATTCTCATGCCTCAGCTTCCCGAGTAGCTGGGATTACAGGCACCTGCCACCTTGCATGGCTAATGTTTGTATTTTTAGTAAAGACAGGGTTTCACCATGTTGCCCAAGCTGGTCTCAAACTCCTGACCTTGTGGTCTGCTGTCTTGGCCTCCCAAAGTGCTGAGAATACAGATGTGAGCCACCTTGCCTGGCCGGGTCAGGGGTTCAAAACCAGCCTGACCAACATGCAGAAACCACATCTCTACTAAAAATACAAAAATTAGCTGGACATGATGGCACATGCCTGTAATCCCAGTTACTTTGGAGTCTGCAGCATGAAAATTACCTGAACCTGGGAGGCAGAGGTTGCAGTGAGCTGAGATTGAGCCCCTGTACTCCAGCCTGGGTGACAGAGCAAGACTTTATCTCAAAACAAAAACAAAATAATACTCAAAATAGTAAAGACAGAGTAGAATGGTGGTTGCCAGGGGCCAGAAGAGGAGGGAATGGGGAGTTTGTCTTTAACTAATAGGGAGTTTCAGTCTTACAAGAGAAGAGCCAGCTGGGCATGGTGGCTCATACCTGTAATCCCAGCAGTTGGAGGGGCTCAGGCCGGCAGATCAACTGAGATCAGGAGTTTGAGACCAGCCTGGCCAACATGGAGGTAACTTGTCTCTACTAAACATACAAAAATTTACATACAGCCCAGAATTGCACTTAACATACAGCCCAGCAATTGCACTCTTGGGCATTTATTCCAGAGAAATGTAGACTTATGTTCACATTTAAAAAACAAAAACAGGCTGAGCGCAGTGGCTCACACTTATAATCACAGCACTTTGGGAGGCTGAGGCAGGTGAATCACAAGGTCAGGAGTTCAAGACCAGCCTGACAAACATGGTGAAACCCCACTCAGCTAAAAATACAAAAATTAGCCCAGTATGATGGTGCACACCTGTAATCCCAGCTACTCAGGAGGCTGGGACAGGAGAATTGCTTGAACCTGGGAGCAGAGGTTGCAGCAAGCCAAGATCTGGGTGACAGAGCAAGACTTAATCTCAAACAAACAAACTAAAAACCTGTGTGCATAGCAGTTTTGTTTACAATAGCCAAAAACTGCAACCAATCCCAACATTCATTGGGCAAATGAACAGCAATTCAGATGAACCTCAAGGGTATTATGCTGAATGAAAAAAGTCAATCATAAGATTCCATACATACATTCCATGTATAATCATACACTGAGGATTTTATATATATCAAATGAAATATCAAAAGATCCCATATATATATTCTAGATATATATTCTGTATAATCATATGCTAATGATCTCACACACACATATATATGTACACACACGCACACACACACACACTAAACCTTCATTTTATTTTATTTTGAGATGGAGTTTCACTCTTGTTGCCCAGGCTGGAGTGCAGTGGCATGATCTAGGCTCATTGCAACCTCTCCTTCCCGGGTTCAAGCCATTCTTCTGCCCTCAGCCTCCCAAGTAGTGGGATTACAGGCACAAGTCACCAGGCCTGGCTAATTTTTGAATTTTTAGTAGAGATGGGTTTTCTCCATATTTGTCATGCTGGTCTTGAATGCTCAACCTCAGGTGACCCACCTGCCTTGGCTCCCAAAGTGTTGGGATTACAGGTGTGAGCCACCACACCTGGCCAATTTGTTTATTTTTTTGAGATGGAGTCTCACTCTGTCACCCAGGCTGGAGTACAGTGGCAAGATGTCAGCTCACTGCAATGCCCACCTCTCAGGCTCCAGCTATTCTGCTGCCTCAGCCTCTCTGGTAGCAGGGACTACAGGAGTGCACCAGCAGGCCTGGCTAATTTTTTTTTCTTTTTTCTTTCTTTCTTTTTTTTTTTTTTTTTAGTAGAGATGGAGTTTCACCATGTTGGCCATGTTGATCTCGATCTCCTGACCTTAGGTGATCCACCTGCCTCGGCCTCCCAAAGTGCTGGGATTATAGGCATGAGCCACCATGCCCAGCCATATATCTTTCTTCAAAGAAAATTACACAGGTGGAAAAATTTTGGTGTGTGTGTGTGTGTGTGTGTTTTGAGACAGGGTCTCACTCTGTCACCCAGGCTGGGGTGCAGTGTTGCAATCATGGCTCAAGTGACCCTGCCATTTCAGCCTCACTAGCGGCTGGAATCACAGGTGCACACCACCAGATCTTTTTTGTTTCTCTTTTTATAGAGACAGAGTTTGACCATGTTGTTCAGGCTGGCCTCGAACTCCTGACTTCAAGTGATCTGCTCACCTAGGCCTCCCACAGTGCTGGGATTACAAGTATGAGCTGCCATACCTGGCCCGAAATTGTTTTAAAAAAAATGGGCTGGGCAAGTGGCTCACACCTGTAATCCCACCACCTTAGGAGGCCAAGGTGGGAGGATCACTTGAGGTCAGGAGTTCGAGACCAGCCTGGCCAACATGGTGAAACCCTGTCTCTACTAAAAATACAAAATTCCTGTCTACAGTGCCAGCTACTTGGGAGGCTGAGGAAGGAGAATTGCTTGAAACCCAGATGTGGAGGTTGCAGTGAGCTGAGTTTGAGCAACTATGCTCCAGCCTGGGTGACAGAGCAAGACTCCCTCTCAATAAATAAATAAATAAATAAATAAATAAATAAATAAAATATAGTATGACTAATGATGATAACAATCATTTCTTCCCTTCTATTAACATTCCAAGTACTGTGCTAAGTTCTTTACATAAAGTTTCACGTTTTTATCTTCCCCATGACCGTATAAGCTGAATATTATTATGTCCATTTATGGATTAGGAAGATTAGGGGCCTGGAGACATTAAGTAAATCACCCGAGGTCACACAGTAAGGAAGGGGCATATCTCAGAGTTGCCTGGCTGAGGCAACTTTGCAGCCTTTCCCTCCCCCACTGCGTGGGGGTTAAGTTCCCTCCTTAACTGCCATCTTAGAGCTGGGTTTGAGAATGCCTCCCTGGTCTGGAGTCATTATGGCATTTTCTTCTACAGAGTATGTTCCTGGTAAATGGAACTGTTTATTTTCCAAATATTTATTTATTTTTTCTTTAAGATGGAGTCTTGCCCTGTTACCCGAGCTGGAGTTCAATGGTGTGATCTCTGCTCACTGCACCCTTTGCCTCCTGGGTTCCAGCAATTCTACTGCTTCAGCCTCCCGAGTAACTGGAATTATAGGCATGTGCCACCACACGCAGCTAATTTTTTGTATGTTTAGTAGAGACAGGGTTTCATCATGTTGGCCAGGCTGATCTCGAACTCCTGACCTTGTGATCTGCCCACCTCAGCCTCCCAAAGCACTGGGATTACAAGTGTGAGCCACTGCACCCAGCTACACTGATGCTCTTATTCTTTGTCCATCTGGCAACAGAAACCTTCACCTTCCAAAAACAATCTCTGGGAGTCCACCTTGTGCAAAGGTAGGACAAGCTTCCATGCAGGTAGGAGTGCTGCTGCACCCCCAATGCCCATGCATCCTCCTCTCTATCTGCCATCAGGTTGCAGCCAGAGGAGTTTGAAGCCTCTGCAGAGAGCACAACTTTGCCAACTGGAACAGACTCCCCTTAAAGGAATGTATTTAGGAAGATCATTTCAAGCATACCATGTACATGCATTTCTCCAAAATATGCTTAGATGGACTTCTGTAATCAGAAAGCTGCGTGTATGGGTTTTGCATTTTTTTGGTCCACACAAACCCCTTGAGAGGTTCCTGTGGGCACTGAGCCTATATGTAGACATCCCCTCCCCTCTTTGATGTCCCAGACATCACAGTCCCTCTGAGGGGCCCCCACCCTCTGGGGAGCAGTCCATCTGACCTACTCCCCACCTTCTGGAAACTGGGAGGTTGGAAAAAGGGGCACATTCCACAGAGCCAGCACACAGTAGGGTACTCAAGTCACATCTAAGCCTTCATTTCTGCTGTGTGGAAATGCTTTCTTCACAACTG